ACACACTACAAGGAAGGGAAAACCCTAAAAAGCATGATGGCCTCTTTAAGAGACAACACACAAGAGCAAAGGGACAGACAGAAACACATGAACAAAACCACAGAAGGCAAGCACAGGCAACAAAAACATGAGCCCAATTGAAGCATGATTGCAGCACATATAAAAAGCACATATGCCTCATTAAAAGCGCTTATATACAAACCCATTAACGTGCGACAAAAGCACATACCTAAGCACAGATGAAAGCTAACGGGCATAGATCATCTGAAAAATAATGATGTAAGCCCTACTACCAGTTTATGACAGCGTGTTGATGATTTTCTTCCATATGCATGCTGAGCCAAATAAACTGAGCATCCTTTTGCTACACTGTTCATCTGGGAAAATCTGGACTTTCTTTGGCAAAGAAAGTGCTTATATGTGCAAGCTAAAGCTATGATAGCAAACATGTCAAATATAACAACTCACGGGTATGTTGTAATGTGGTCAAACTCAAAGGTTTGTTTGTGCTAAGCTAGGCTAAACATGTTCAACACAGACTTCCTTTATGCATTATCTTTTTACACGACTGTAGTAAAGACAGTAAGGAAGCACATTTCCTAAAATACTGCAGAGGTAGTTTCATAGTCGCAGGTCTCAGGAGGAGACTCGTACCAGTGTTTCTCCCACAGCAGAGTGACATATCTGCAGTACTATATATACACTATAATAATCTACCTAATTGACACTGTTGGTCAGCATACCTGCCAAATAAAGGACACTCTGCTCCAGCATACATTCCCCTGAGCTTCACCATCACATTTGTTGTGAAAACCATAGAATAATGTGTTTCTGGGTGAGAGGAAAACACTGACCAAACGTGGATATACTGTGAGTAAAAGCTGCTACGTTTCTGTAAGTACAACATGGAAGGTAATGAGCTGCAGTTACTGGCAGAACAAACTCAGAAAGAGAGAAAAGCACACACACTTAAATAGCTACCAGGAGAGAATGCAGACACAACATTTGTACTTGATCAAAATAGTTTTTTGTCTTGCTAGCTGCCAGTAAAATAAGCTGATGACTTGGATGCATCTGGCACCTTATCCTCGAGCTCTACTTCCTGCTGCTTTAAAAGTAAATAGAGAGCTGGCTCAAATAAATAATGCACATTGAATTTGCTTGTGCTGAAATATAGTTTATAGATAATAACAGCCCATAGTATCACTGTTTTTGGATTGAAATGGATAATTGTTTTCCACCCTGTGAGTGTTATCGTTAGAAACCCTAGTCCACTATGACACAGCTGTTTGAAATGCACTTATTTGCACTGGTGGAAGAAGGACTCCAATGTTTTACTTACAGTAATTCATGTTTGTAAAGCACTTACGAGCAACCCTAAACAAGAGTGGGATTATTGCCCCAAAAACATGAGAACGTTTTCTGTCTTTCATGAACTTCAACTCTCTTAATTTAAAGTAACATTATCCAGAGAGACCTTCAAAAGGGGCAACATTTAAAACATGTTTTGCACTTTACAGTTTGACATTAACACAGGGAAAGAGGACTGGGAGTGACACTCACAATCATTTCCACAAACCATTAAGGTATGTCATAAACATGCAGCAGTATTTGTCTAACAAATGACCAATGAGATCTAATTCAACCATTGTATAATGCATCGCGTCATCACATCATTTCCTGATTAGCAGAAAAAAACATCACCCGAAATGGCCAGTTGTCTTTAGAGGGGGAAATGTGTGTTAGTGAAGAAACTGAAGAGAAGGAACATCGATATAGCTCTTAAGGAAACATGGGGATCAGATGTGAGATGAGAGGAGAGGCTCCAAGCAAGTGAGGATAAGAGCCATTACTGTTTCAAAGATTAAAGGAGGTAAAGAAGTAAAGGACGTGAGAGAGCGTGGAAGAAGAAAAAGAAAAGTGGGACAAGTGGAGAGGGAGTGCAAGGGAAACAGATGAAAGCAGGAGGTTAGGGGGAAAGGTTTTAGAAAGTAGGATGGAAACGTAATGCAGAAACTGGGAGAGAAGAGGAGAAACATCATGTGCTGAAGACAACTGAGGAAAGAAGTTGGGGGGAAACGAAAGGGTATGGCACGTCACGCAATGAAGTGACGTTTTTGAAAGATCTGAGAGCTGTGGTGCGTTAACCTGGCAGTTCTCTGATTATAGAAGTCACGCTTAATTATCAGCAGTAGCTTTGTTCAAGGTAATAGAACAAGTAACACAAATATAAAGTAGGCCAGCCTTTGCTGTCCTTTTACTCAGTCCCAGTTATCTTAACACCAGGTTCATTCTGGTTTTGTGTTTTCAATCTTCCGTCTTAACCTCTGTCCCTCTTCTCTTTGCACTTCCTTTTCTTGTTGTCTGTCTCATCTCCTTCCCTTTTTCCTTTCAAATCAAATCAAGTTTTATTTATAAAGCACATTTAAAAGCGATTTTTGGTCGAGCCAAAGTGCTGTACATGTAATAAAAACACATTACTACAATCACAATAAAAGACAATAAATTACAACAGATATATATAAAAAATAAAAACCCTTTAAACCCTTTTAAGCCACAAATGTCTTAATTATATATATATATATGTATATATATATATATTATAGTATATAGACTCTTATTGCACTATTTTACCATTTTTATTTTTGTATTTACTTGCATTATTATTGTGCACTGTTGGAGGAGCCTGTGACCTAAGATTGTCATCGTCATGACTACACTGTAGCTATGTTCGTATGACTAATAAAAGCCTTGAACCTTGAATTCAGCTCAGCTTGTTCTCTTGTTTTTCATGCTTCCTCCCCTCTCCTTCTCACTCATCCCCTTCCTCACTTCAAAACATAGCTCCATCCCTAACACCACTGTATTTCTGCAGGGAGTTAGCTTATTTTTCAATGCAGTTAAACCCAAATGTCCCCTTGGCGCTGCCCAGTATCACAATGTATTCTGCTGCTGGTTGACTGGAGCACCTGAGGGGTTAAGTGCCTTGCTCAAGGACATGTCCAACGACAGCGAAGAATGAGCCTCACTCGCTTTCTGTCCACTCGGCCATTCATCATCCTCCTTCTCTCCTCCCATCTCTTTATCTGTGAGCATCACCTTCACACACCCTCCGTTCCTCCACCCTCCCTCCATCACTGTCTCTCCTCTCAGCCCTCCCATGCTCCATCACCCTCCTTCCACACCACCCACTGCTTCTATTATCCCTCGACTGAGCGCTGATGAATGACAGAGTTTGATTTTTTGGGGGGAAAGAGGAGGGAGGATGCATCGAGCGAGGGAATTGGAGGGCAAGAGTGGGGAATAATAAGCGACTTTAAGTTTTGCTTGTACCTTATGTTGTTATTCAGTGATTTAAAATCTCTGTTAGTCACTTTTAAAAAGCAAAACCACGCCCTTTGGATCACTCCGTGCGCCCGGGCAAAGTTGAATGTGTTTTTAAAGTGTTATTTGTAGGAGTAAAACTTGTAGGCGATAAGATCAGTTTCACTGTTTTTTATTGCTTTTACCACCGGAAATATATATACTAAGTTATCTGCTTTGGTATTAAATTGTTATTGCTTCTTATATAAAACACATCAAAAGAAAAGCTATTCTAATCATAAAGGAGACTGTCAACTGTCAACTTTAAATAGATGATGCATCTTCAGTTAGTGCTCTTTTCTGAGGAAACACCTGAATAGCTATGCAACTGTCAAAAATAGATCCAGAGCATCTTTTGAAGTCGAAAAATGAAATATTTACTGAAAAAAACACGACTGACGAGAAAAATACCTGCTATTTTCTAGTCTGTTGCACTAGTGTGACATATTACATTAATCATTAAAGTAATGATTAATGAGTACAACCCAGATATAAACAGACATCTCAACCTCAACATCCAGTTTTTAAGCAAGTACACCAGCAAAAAGGTAGCAGTCCGCAATATAAAATTATTATTTAAATATATTTTCCTTTGGATGTTTTCTTATAAAAACACCAACAACTGTTACTGGTATTTGTTGTATTCGCTCCCCTGCTAAGTTACTGTCAGTTCAGCTGTTAGCAACCAGAACTGAGACACTAAGGGTTAAGCAAATGGACTGCTTCAGAGTCACTACCAATAATCATTCAATGTGTAATAAAGCAGTACTTTAAAGGGGACCTATCATGCAAAATGCACTTTTGTACGTCTTTTATACATGAATATGTGTCCCCGGTGTTCCAGGGAACTCACCAAGTGTCAGAAAACTCTCTATTTTCCTCCATACCCAAATCTCTAAAAAAGGGGCTGCAACCGATCTGATAAAAACTGATCCAGATTTGAACACTGTCCTGACGTCAGGACGGTGGCGCTACGGCTATTGGGCCAACTCCACCAATCAGGAGGAGACAGCCACGGCCATTGCCGTTCGAAAGCGCTGGAGACGCTGTATTACATATGCCAGGCCTGTAGAAGGTGCTGTTCTCACTGAATCTGCCCAGAGCTAAAACAGAGCTAGAAATTGTCAAATTGAGCAAAATGAGGCATGGCTAAAATGCATGATCTGTTTGGTATTTTGAAAAATAAAAAGTATAAATATGCCTTATATAGGTATGGTCCTATACTATATTATTCAAATATAGCATGATAGGTCCACTTTAAGTAAAATTACTACTGCATTTTCTCTGTTGATGCAAAAAGACACATTAAATTATAGCAGAGAGCACAGTGGATGTGGGTGTTGTACTGAACACATATTTGATGTATTAGCTCTCATTACAGAGGAAGCACTGCATGGCTGGGCATGAAAGCTGCAGAGGATAGGATTGACAGTCAAACAAAACAGAAAAAGAGATGCATTTAATTTCCATTTGCTCCTAACCAAGAGCCCAAATCTGCCTTCACATGAACAGAGGAGAGGACGGATGATAAGAGGAAGAAGAGGAAGAAGAGCCTCCTTGGTTCTTTTTCTGTATCCCTTTTTCCATCCAGCTCCTGTTCAAGTTATCAAAACACAAACACACAGAAGAGAACTCACTTCCTGTCCAGAGAGGTAGTAGGCGGCCAGCAGTCCTCCTATGAAACGAATGTTGACCTCAAACACAGACACCTCGGCATTCTGGGAAAACAAGAGCAGAGAGAAGAAAACTCAGTAAGAATGAAACACATTTTTTTCTTAATTTGTTATTTATGTTTTTATAAGGACATTGGTATTGGTATCTTCAATGGGAGGTTTTATTTTAACATAAAAAGAATACGATCCGTTTTGTTTTTGCTCCATTTTTTACTACAGTTTGTGAATCAAGTGGTTTGTACAACCTTTACAAATAATCTGAGACTTAAAAACAGGTTATCCAACAGTAATAAGAAGAATCAAACGTAATCACTGCTTTACAGCCTAATTAATAATAACACACATTGTTTCCCCAACACATCATTAAATATTATATGGGAAAAGTAATTAAGAAACTTATGACCTTCTGTCCTCTTTAGTTTTAATAGTCAGCGATTCAGGGAAGTAACAAGGGTTTGCCTTTTGTATCAGAGGTGCCTACAATTCAGGAAACCTCTGTAAGCACAGAAACAATATATGTATGCAACGTTATAACATACATTTTCAGGGAGAACATCAGAGGTGTTATTACACTGACTACTAACATTTAGTAGTGTTTCTTTGTGTCGTTTTTTATCCAGACTTTAATGCTGATTCACACTTAAAGGGCCCCTATTATACTGTTTCTCATCAATATATTATAGGTCTCAGATATATACAAACATGTCTCTGAAGTGTTTGGCTCCAAACACCAAACAGATCATTGCAGCATCCCATAATCCCCTCTGTTTCAGCCCTGTTTCAAAAGTGCTGATTCTCTGTCTGTTACTTCAGATGAAAAATAAGGAGCCCCTCCCCACGCCCCTCTGAGAGGTATTTGGTTAAAAAGAACACAATGGTGCTCTAGGAGGAGATTCAGGTGATAAGGGGGGGGGGGGGGGGGGGGGGGGTTATCTTGGTTGGTGATTGGCTAATGGTTACACAAGCCAAAAAATCGTTATGACATCATAAAGTGGCCAAAATCTGATCAGCTCATTTTCAGACAGGTTTTTATATAAATGGATCAGGACAAAAAGAGAGAGAATCTTTTTTCCTAAAACTTTTAGAATCTCTTTACACAGAGGGGACACATGGTGATGTAGAAAAGACAGGAAAAAGTGGATTTTGCATAATAGGTCCCCTTTAAGTCACATTTTCCATCACTGCGGAGCTAAGTAGGAGGTTCATGTGGAAAGCATTGAATCTCCAATTGAAATGAATGAAACCAAGTGAAACAATCATTGAGTCAACAGTTCTTTAACCTGCCTACAGTATGAATGTGTACTGGCACATATTGTACGAGAGCCTTAAGACTTTCCTTTAAAGCTTCTAAGCACTTTAAACTAAAGCCAGACATTTCAAGCAATGTAATCACGAGTGGATAAACACACACACTAGGTCTATGCATATTTCTTCCACTAATTACGCCTGCAGTTGTCACCCTGGCTGTTACTCTGCAGTTTGGGGTGGACGGGGAGAAAGTATGCTGCTGCTCACCCTAGTTTCCTTGTTTACAAAAAGCACAGCCTAATTGGGACTCCTCTCAGCAGTCTGCGTGCTCAGGTCAGCATGCCTCCCTTTACTTTTCTTAAAAACACTAAAAAATGCTTTAAGTGTTTTGGGCCACATCATTACTATTCTCTATAGTCAATCCCCAGGTACCATAATGCCGTAAGACTACACACATGCACACCTTGCAGACCATTACAATGTGACCTTACTCATATATTTTCACATGAGGAGTGAAAACACACAAGAGATGAGGAATTAACCTGCACATCCCTCTAAAGGGCAGCGAGAATTACCTCGGTTCACAGTAAATGCATTCCACAGGGGATAAAGAGGGGGAGAGGTGGAAGAACATTGTCTGAATGTCTACAAATGAGACTTATATATAGCACTGTCTGCTGCTGTCGGCTTATTCCACATATCCAAATAATACAGTATACTGAATGTATTTTACTGTACAGTGTTCAATTATACATGTTATTTCTTCTTATTTTCTCTTACATGTACATAGTTGACTTATTGCTGATTTTTACTTGCACCATGACCACTTGTGAGTTAGTGGGGTCTCCATTCAATCGGAAGGTTGTGGGTTTGATCCCAGCCCATGCTGTCAACATGTTGATGTATCTTTGGGCAAGATACTTAACCCCGAGTTGCTCCCGATTGCCAACAGTGTGTGAATGTTAAAGTCCTTGAGCAAAAGTGGCACATTGCTCTGTATGAATGAGTGAATAATAACTTGTGAAGACTGGATAAAGCGCTCTATAAATACAGTCCATTTACCACTGTATCACTTGCACTATTTGTTATTGCACCATTTTACTGGTTATTTTCTTCATGTTTTAAGTGGAATGCATGTTGCACTGTTACCAGCAACTACGCTGAAGATATTAAAAACCTTTGAAACCTTGGAAGAAGTAGCTATGATTGCATTTTACACACTGTTCTGTGCATCTTATGTAACCAGCTGAGGTGTCTGCAGTCTTAAGTCAGGAGCAGGTGTCCACAGACAATATTCATAACATGTTTCGATGCTCAACCGTAACACCCTTCAGTCTCGGCTCAGCGGAGGTACTGCCCTCCACTCTTAATACATCCTATAGGCTCTTTCTGCCTTGTGCCTTTCTGCCAGTGTCTAAAGCTGTCATAAATTGTCATTTAGCACAGGAAACAGACAGATTTCTTGGCAACCATCCTCCGTCAGGACTATCATTTCCACTAGATCATTTTCATTTCCACTGTGGACCACAGCCTTATGTCTAGGCGTGGTGTGAAGTGCATCATGTGGAGCTTTCTTCCTACATCTTATCTCAGTGAGTTGTTTAGATTTTGGCCTCATACATAGTTGTAACAAATCTGATTCCCTCCTGAAACAAAGGGGACTGCATCAAAGTGGTTTGTGTCAGCTAAAGGAAGACATCAAGAGCGAAGAGCCACCTAGAGTTGACCTTGAGATGAAATGATTTTGCACACTGAATGCGTCATGAAACACTCCCCTCAGATCCCATGTGTGCCGTTGTGCTGACAGAGGGACGGACCCTGACTGTAAAAGAGATGAGGTGAAGAATGGCTCTCATCTCAGCAGCTCCACCCACACTTTTCTCTTTTTGAGTAGACCCCACTTTGTCTGAGACCCCTGAGAGGGTATCTCGACCGCTCTTGCCTCTGTAACGAGGTTTTCCCACTGGTTTAAATTATCTGTCTTTTGTTTGTATTTGCTATACGGTCAAAACCGGTATGCATTTACCTTATAAATATTTTAAATTCTTTCTTCTAATTGAAACACTGGAGCAAATTAGCATACATACCATTAATCAAGTCTCAAATCTTCTCAATTATTAATCCAGTACGCATTTTTCACGCTTCATTATAGCAGACAAATAATTGTTTTAAGTAGATAATGTTACATTTATTACAGAAATATATTTATGTAGCAGCAATGGACAGCTTTACAGCAACATTCGTCATTTAAAACATAACCATTTATTCAACTATAAGTGTTTGCAAACATACATTCCTCTAAAACATGGGTGTCAAACTCAATTTCATGGCTGGCCACATTAGCGTTAAGGTTGCACTCAAAGGGCCGGTTGTAACTTTAAGACTGTATAAATATACATATATAAATATATAATATATATTAAATAATGTATTATATTACATTATTGCCTCTGCATTGGATTATTATCAGTTCTGGTAATAACTTCATAAATAACTACGTCTGAAAGCAGAAGTCGAGGGCAAATAATTGAAAGCAAATAATCAACAATTACACCAATTGTATTGTATATTCTTTGCAAGCTCTTTGAGTTTGACACCCCTGCTTTAAAATAATCTAATTAATGTGAAAAGTTAAAGAGCATGAGGAGGCAAAAAGCAAAAGTAGACGGGCTGCTAGTCATGGAGAGGATGATGTGTTGAGCTGAGTGATGACGGGATGAAGATATCGTAAAGCTCAAGGCCAGCTTTGTATGGCAGCATCCATCCATCTAACTCCCGTCTGTCAGTCACACTCGTTAGCCGTTTACAGCTGGAGTTTAGGAGCCCAGAACCAATCAAATAGCTCTAATTCAAAAACGCCGGCAGGGAACACCGATGGGAAAGCGATGAATAACATAATGTAGGTTGTGTGACGGTGCATGAGAGCGGCACAAGAATAGAAGTTTAGATTAAAATAAATGGTTTTGTTCTGAAAGTACGAAATAGGACAGCAGACTCCTTTTATTCTCTTATGTTCTATCACAAGATACTGTAGCTCTTAATGACATACTGTATTTGCTCCCCCCTGAGAATACACTTTACAACCTTTTCTATTAATAATATCCACCATTAATATCCACCAGTTCAAACAGAATCTGTCAAAACATCTTTAAGCATTTTCTTTGTATGCAGGACCTGCCAAGGATACTTCCTGTTTTTTATTCCACTCCACTGTCACTACTGTTAAAGTACCTTTGGTGTCAGACTGTCAGGAAGAATGTGGTTAATATATGGTAAAGTGTGGCTTGGTCTTTCAAGTTCTAGTTATTCATTGTGGTGATCTATCAAATAAAGCCTATCCTCTTTCAACTCACCATGACATCTGTGTGTACAGTAGATAATGTACAATCAATTACTCAATAGAAAAGAGCAATTTTGATAATCAACCAAACATGTTGATTTTGTTTTGAAGGTCACCTATTATGCAAAATCCACTTTTCCATGTCTTCTATACATCAACATGTGTCCCCTCTGTGTAAAGAGCTTCTGAAAGTTTCAGGAAAAAAGATCCTCTCTCTTTTTGTCCTGATCCATTTTTATAAAAACCTGTCTGAAAATGAGCTGATCAGATTTTGGCCACTTTATGATGTCATAACGATTTGTTGGCTTGTGTAACCATTAGCCAATCACCAACCAAGGTAACCCCCCCCCCCCCCTTATCACCTGAATCTCCTCCTAGAGCACCATTGTGTTCTTTTTAACCAAATATCTCTCAGAGGGGCGTGGGGAGTGGCTCCTTATTTTCATCTAAAGTAACA